CATTGTACTTACATAAATTTTAAATAGATAACATTTCATTACAGCCATCCTCTCATGCCGCTTGTATGGATTACATTCCTTAATTTCTCTTTCATAGCCAAGTGTATCCTTGCTTTTATTTTATCCACATCAGATGATGAGTGATCGAACTGCTCTTCCCCAAAATTCAAAAATATCATCATAAAACAATGCCCGAGTTCAACTGGCGTCGCAGCTTTCATTTCTTCTAAAAACTTGGGTAAACTAAAAGGAGCAGTGTCGCATTTCAACTTCTCCAAATGGGAAATGAAGTGTTTGTGATAAAATTCGATCAAACCGTCGAAATCGTCTTGTAGTACAGACGTCTGCACATTTGTGAAAAGAAAAAAGAACAGGTCTGTGGCTGGTGATTTATAGTCGCAGTTTTGAAAGTCAATAATCTTGTTGCTAACAGGTACCTTGTTCTGAAATTTTATCATAGTGTTATTGAACCACATATCTCCGTGAGTTACAGTCGCGAATGGTTCCTTTGGTGGTGCATCTCCTGCTGCTCTTACGTTCTCGAAAATGTTTTTAACTTTTGGTATCCAGGGTATACATTTGTATGAATCTTGAAGCATCTCTAAGAAGACTGACTTGATTTCTTCTTTAATTGGCTTAGGCTGGAAAGGGAACGGGGCCAAGTACGGTCTGATTTTCTCATTGAATACTTCTGGTTTCTTCAGCTTCAGAGCAATTGGTATGGCATGGAAAGCTGCCAAGTCTTTGAGTATTAACTGGGTCGTCTCTAGGTCAAAGCTTACGTGGTGATCTACGCATTGATAACCTGAAAAAAATGTCATTGAATTAGATTAAGTAGATGTCCAAAAAATGTGGGTATGTCAAAAAGGAAATACATAATATTTATTTTTAGAAAATTTAAAATAATTAGAAATAAATGCAATTTTATGCCCACCTTATTGCATATTTTATGTGTAATCTGTAAGTTGTAAATAATAATTTGATCAATCACACTATTTTTATTTGAATACGGTGCGAAGGAGTTTACTCGATTTGGTTTAACTTTCGAAGGAGTCAAGGTAATAATAATAATGCAAGATTTAAAAAAAAATAAAAATGTACCTACTTCATCTTTATAAGAAAAAGTACCAAAGAACTTTTAATTTGTTTAACTTGTTCTCTTTAAAAAAAAATAGATGCTTTTGTGTATACATTATTGTTAAATTGTCTTTTATAACTTTTACTTCGGCTTGTTCCACTAACTTGTGTTGGCCCACCTAATTCTTTTAATTTTAGTTTATCCTCATAAGGCATAGAACCAAATAAAGTTTTTTTTTAAACGAAACGCTATTCATTTTAATAACTATAATATCCGTAGACGAATAAACGAAAATATTCACATGTGCCGCTCGCCGCACATACCACGTACGAAATATTACTGCATTTACTGCAGCAGTGGCTGTCGTTGTTGCAGCCACAAAAGCCCATATAAAACTGTACTGGGTCACGTGCCTGATTAGCCAATAAAAACAAAGGACGCATCTAATCGTTCGCTGTGCACACATTTTGTATATGAGGTTGCATATATTAAGGAGCGTAGCTCACGTCGTAATAAATAATAATATAAGCTCCTAGATTTATTTTAGCGCGAGTAAATTTGGATTCTTTAAATGTTTTGTTGCTATTTAATATGATTAAATACATGAAATTTTATGTGTTCTGCAGCTTCGCAGCTCTCATGGTAAAACCGCCACTGTATTTACTCCTTTCTTCTAAGAAAAAGTACCAAAGAACTTTTAACTGTTTAAGTATATAGAATAAGGTAAATACACACTTCTCTCATCTCAATCAT